AATGAATATGTAACTGCTTCGAACATAACGTCTCCGGGGAGAAATCGCCAGGCAAACCACCCACACACATAGCAGAGTGGACATTTCCTGGTTCTTTTAAATTGTCTCGCTTTTGGTTTTCTCCCATAATAATTCTTCGATACTTGCCGGTCATAGCCGGATACGAGGCTACAGGCAGGTTGATACGAAACCTAGTCGGTTATATCAATATGCAGTTTGGGGTTGGCATGAGTTTAAATCAATGTAAGTCTATTTATTCGCTTTTTTGGTAAGACTTCGCATACATAATATCTAGGATTCCCCTTTAAATAATCAACTACATCATAGCTCCTCGTGTCCTCGAGTCCAGAATAGCAATAATGCTACCTCAATTCACTGAGTCGCCGTGCAAGCTAGCAATAAAGCCTTGCCATAGTAAGAGTTTTTTAAAACTCTATAACAATAACTCTTTATCCAGCATTTCACACACATATATACTTAGGTAGGTAGGTACACCGCATAAAAATAATGAAGCGCAAAATTTGAAGACTGACAAGACGGGGATTCGAACCCCGGCCCCCTTCGGGAGTAGGATTCTCTTTTGAAGAGACAAGAGATGTCCTCTTGAATCTACCGCCATAGACCGCTCGGCCATCTTGCCTTTTCTGTCTTCTACTATGTTTGCTGAACACATCGACATGAACTACGTCTCCGTCAATCTAGGTAGAAGAAGGAAAGAAAAGTGAGCCTTTTCTATTTCTAGCCTCGCTTCTACGCTATCTCGCCGATTAAAGAGAAGAAAACCCGCAACACTAGGACATAGTATAGCCCTAAGTAGCCGAAGACAGAGCCGCAAGTGAGTGGGCCAAAGGACCACCACTTTTCGACAGTGTTGGCGATAACAAACATACAGGCAATCTCATAGCCTCTGTTGAGTAAGTCTTACCTAAATCTAGAGGTAGGTGGTAGGTATAATAAAGGAACAAGAAGTGCAAAAAATACTCTGAATATGAACAGGACAATGCTTCATTCGAGTAAGCATGAAAAGAGGCTATATGTGCCACTTACATGACAGCTACAACTCCCATGTCTTAAGTTCAGAATCTATCACCGTTCTCGCCACTGCCTCTTATATCTAAGCTAGGTAGGCAGTTAAAAGTGCTCTTTACATTTTCCTTTAAACTCAACGACGGGGTCTATTGTTTCCCAAAAATAAGCCTATACCACCGGGTGTTAGCAAATGTTTCGGAGAGATTGAGGAGATGTCTAGAGCAACGTGTCCCGAGCACTTTTTGCTACTAGGAAATAGCAATCGACGGGAGGAAGCACGTACCTCTCATTCCTCTTGTTATCGCATCAAATGAACTTGCCAAAGTCCCGGCTACCAACGCTCCGGCACGATTTCCTAACGGGCCGGCTGCTTTCCCTCTAAGTCTGAATGCTCCAACCCTGCGCCCCGACGTCTTAGATATCGATGATGCAGTCCTGGGCCCCAGTGGTCCGGTCCTGGTTCTAGATCCCGAAGGTCCTCCTCCCCCGGGCCGGGCCCCCCAATTCCTGGGCCACAAAACCCCGTCCGAAAAAGGTGGACGCCTATTTCCTATGGTTCCAAGTCCCGAAGGCTCATCTCCTCCCGAGGGCGGGGGCATTGAAGGCTCAGGCTGTGGGAGGTTGACTTCTAAAGGCCCAGGTCCTGGAAACGGGGGCATACCCGGGGGGGAACCACCCAGGCCACCGTCGCCACCGTCGCCACCGTCGCCACCACCTTCACTTCCGCTACCTCCACTTACACTTCCATTTTCACTTCCACTTCCATCTCCACCTTCGCTTTCGCCTCCGCCACCTCTAACACTACCCACTTCAGCGGTAGTAGCGTTGAAGATCCTAATATAGTTAAGATATAATTGTCAGTAGTTTAATACCTTGTTTCTACGAAGCATGTCACTTTCTCCGGACGACGCCTAGCTGAACTGAATAATAGGAAATAAGAGAGAAAGGAAACCGCTCGACGTACTACACAGAAGTTAGCCAGGGGCTCGACCAAGAAATCATGAAAAGGAGATCCGCGAAGCAAGGATCGAGTGCCAGTATATATGACCTGCTCTCACACGTACCAAATTTTGAACCCATCCTTTGATATAATCGTCGCTCTCACCCGGGAACTGCCGTGCCACGCCGTTTCTTGCCTGCTCGAGGAGAGCAGCCAGTGTTGGTCGTTCTCTGGGGTCATGCCTCATGCAATCCCTGATCGTAGTCCTGAGTTCTTCGTCTATATAGTTGTACTGAGGATTATCGTCGAAGATGACCGGGCAGTAGTGGGCATGGTCATTCGGGCCGTATTCGACTTGGCGGCTGTATTGGCTGTTCTGAGGTGGCAGAGGTGGGCGCATTTTCGTTATCATCACCCACATCGTCTGTAGGCAGGTATACATGTTAGATCATTTCTAATGCTTTCTACCGTGCTTTTAGGGGGGTGTCACCAATGCAATCCCCCATATGTTCGTCCACGACCCGTAGGTACCGGCAATCGGTTGTTCCGAGATCTGGAATCCATCGTATTCTGTAGCTGCTACGTATTCCCAGTCTGCTCCGAACTGCTCGGGTGCTAAGTAGCCGTATTTCCCAAGTTCCCGCTTTTCGAGGTAATAATCGCTATAGTGCATTATAAGCTAAATTCGATATTCTATTTGGAATCATGATAGAACTTACTTTCCCTTCTCAGGTTTTATCTTCTTCGCCGACCCAAAGTCCGCGAGCTATCGCCAGAATTAGCACGTCTAGGATAATATACCTCTTCATGTCGCAAGCCTACCCTTAATCCAGGGACCAAGGCATGTTCGCCGCCCCCGGAAATTATATCCAAGTGATCGATGAGTACTTAAGAGTTATCACAGTTAATACCCATGTTGTCGAATAGAGCGTTGAGGAAACCTTACTATTTTTAGGGTCAATATCGAAATGGACCATCCGCTTTCCTGCCCACCTCCGAGTGACAACTGGGATGTCTTCGAATAAATCCCCTTCGGCATCCTTCCCAGTATGTCGGCGAGGATGAAACTTCCGCGGAGGATACCTACACAAGTCCAGTATATTAGCATAATCTGAAGAGTGCATAGGTAGCTTAAGACTATGCCTAGGAAGATGATTACTCCCCCACGCACAGCATTGCAAGAGGTGATTCCTTACTCTAAAGCTATGCAAGCCTTGATTACTAGTATCTCTATTAGTCAAACTGTATAGGATGAAGTCGGAGCTTTAACATACAGCAAAGCCAAAAGGACCAGAGGACGCGATTAGGGGTGTTCACATTCTGCGCTTCGAGTTTGTAAATGAGATGCGCTAAGTCCCCGTTCATCTTGTAATCGAAAAGAATAAAATCCGTGCGCAGTAAATCCCATGTCTCTTGCAAATCAAAGGCTTCCTCCTCGGGCAACTCTTCGTATACTTCCAGTGCCTTCTCTCTCGTCCTCCACCATCTTCTTTCTTTTCTCACTCTCCTTCGGTGTAACTTTGCCTTAAGTAAGTAAGCGCCGGGGTCAGCATTTATTCGTTGTCGCCGCGTCAAATTCTGTGACGGCGGAGGTTCATCCTCGCGGCTCTCCGACCCGCTGGATTCTTCCTCGGAGCTCGAATCCTGCCGGTCTATTGTATCGTACGGAAGTTCTTTTTGGGGGCGTATACCCTCCTCCTCCGGATCGAGCGCATGGATGCAATGGGCCGCGCGGCCTACTTGCTACGAGCCCGAGTCCGTTAGCAGATTCATGAATTGTTAGTATACGGTGACTAGATTTAACCACTTACTCTTAAATATTTTGCTTCTGCGCGGAGTTGTGAACTCGTCCAACCTGGCAAAGGAAGCTTTGCCACATGCTCCCGATAGTATTCGGCACCCTCAAGCCAATGATGGACCTTTACAACAATGGATCTATCACTATAGCCCAGCACCTGCCTAACCTCATACTTCTCATCCACACCTCCAAAAAACCCCCGAATTTGGTCATATCTCCTCCTTACTATATTCCAAGGTTGTGGGTCGTACAAATCAGGGGTGCTATCGATGTCTATTGTCTGAGTTGAACTCTCCCTAACTCTTTTGTACGGCGATCGAGTCCATTCCCCCCTGACTCTATCTGGCCGCCCGTGGTATGGTCTTCTCGGAAACGGCTGCAACAACCATTCTGCTCGACATGTCCAAATTTCGTCAAGTTTCTTATAGTCCCCACCCTGCTGTCTATATTTCGTAAATTGAGCCGCAGAGCTTCGGTAATGTTCTCCGTAATCTTGGGTCTGATTGTCTATGGAATACTGGTCCCTCTCAAGAAATTCATGTGCTCTATTCTGCATTTTACTGTTATTTTCGAGGCAGAGGCTTATATTTGTGGTATGGATAGATGATCAGTCGTAAGATTAGGTGAGGTGCGCGGATTATATTGTTAAATTCAAAGCAAAGCAGTCAGTACACGTCTAAGATGACTTCTGTAATGGTTGTTGCTATACCTATGATTTATAGTTGTTATTACGACGTCTAAGAAGAAAGGTACTAGCTACCTACCATAGGTATTAGGGATAAAGGATGATCTCATGATAAAGAAGGCATAACCGAAACCGATGTTTTATGCATGTATTTGACGACTCCAGTTTTGGGGTTTCATTGTTTCCATTATCTTCACACCATTAGGAAGAAAAACCCTTTGGCCAACCAGCACTTCCCTATATTTTCAAATGTTTAAAAACATTATATTCCCACTAACTAGCAAGACATTGGCAACTGGTTGGTGGTGGCTGTATGTAACTATCTTTTAGTAGAAAAGTTAGGTAGGTAGGTACCTACCCACCTAAATATTGAATGAAGTCTCCCAGACCTGATCGTACAGCACACCTGGGCATTATTAGGCTTTACAAAAAAAGGGATTTTCTATCCCAAAACAATTAAATTATTATAACTTCGAGGTTTGAAGTAAATTAAGGCAAAAAGAAAGTGTAGATAGATGTAGGAATCGAATAGAGAAAAAAATTTAATGTGCGGTGTATGTGGATCGAACACATGACCTTCAGATTTCAAGAGTGAAGTTGATCTTCAGTCTGACGCTCTCCCAGCTGAGCTAACCCCGCTTATAAGAATCTTGTAGGAAGAACGCTCTATAACTAAAGCAGTCCAATTGACCAATTGATTAAGCGAGAAGAGGCAGCCCCGCTAGTGTCATGCGGCGGCGTGTTATATCTCCACGAGTATTATTTAAAGTTCTCTAGTCAACTAGCTTAGAAGGATATTCAAGCCTTCGAGGAACGGAAGAAACCTTCATAAAACAACGAGAGGGTATTTTATTCGTCTCAACACTATTACTACCATTAAATATTACCAGACCACTGTCCTTTCCTCTTTTCCTCTTTTCCTCGACACCTGACTATCACCAAGGGTATAAATTCTTCTTTTCCTCCTCTTCCATCTTTCCATAACGAGCGAGGGGGTATAATTGTACCGCGACCGTCCAATACCTCAATTGGATTGATTAAGACCGCATAAGATCGTACAGATTCGTGACGAATCGTGGTCATCACATCGTAAAAGAGTGACAGGCCCAGCCTACCATGTTTGACACCGAACGAGGTTGGGTGAAGTGAGTTGAGTATGTGAAAGGATCGAGCGACTTGCGGAAGACCTGCAATCGACGTTCAACGCGGGGCAAAGTCGCATATCCTATATCAATACTCGGTCCGTCTATGCGGCCTGCTCACCGACGACGGGTTGCGCCGGAGCGGTGGCGGTCTTCTCGGGGAATTCTCCGGCTTGGTGAACACGGCCGTATCGAGTGAACGCGATGTTCAACTTGCCGTAGTCCCAGTTGCGGGCGAGGAACAGGAAGGCAAATGACAAGAATGGAACCAGTAGGACATCGAGAATACCGAAGAAGATGTAAGCTGGTGTGACACCAATCTTGTTTCCACCATCCGAGAGACCCCAGGCGATGGGGTACAAGAGCCACAGGAAGTTAACCCATCCTGCTAGTAGCGTGTCTGCAGTATCACGGTTAGTAACTTCTGTTTTCATTGATGATTTAAATTTCTAGCTCTCGAATCTATTTTTGAATAGGTGGATCCTCGAAATTAGAAGGACAAAGATGGAAAGGAAACACATACGGTCTCTGGCAACACCAACACGCTTGGCTGCAGTCGAACCACCTGCGAGTGTGCTGAATGCGAGAAGAGCCCATGCAGTCGTTCCAAAGGCGTAGAACCCCCATTTGTAGTTAGAGGTCGTAAAGGCGCCAACGAGGTACGAAATGACCCTGACATCGGTTAGCCGAATCGAGGAGGAAGGGGTATATCGATTCCCGCAAATGCTTACCAGGTCCACGACAGAGCAACGTTATAGAGGATGGTTGCCCATGAGACGCCGCTCAGTAAACCCAGAGCAATCGCAACAACGGGGTAGCTGACAACCCAGTTGACATACTCGGCCCAGAAGATTTGACGAACCCATGTCTCGACAGGCTTAGAGTTGACAACCGGGACGGCCACATAGGCTAGATCAGCAGCGATAGCATAGTAAGAGATAGTACCGGTAAGAAGAGCAATTGTGAAGAGATAATGAAAGATCTTTTCGCCCGATCGTGCCACAAAGCTAGTGGCAAAGAAGACAATAAACGAAACAACGTAGATAGCCGTTACTGCCCATAGCCAGTCGCTACCGTTCACACTCAGCTCCTCATTTCCGCTCGGAGGGTTGATGTTGAGGGCATCGTTCGCACGATGTAGTAGAATCGCCATAGTGTTGTTAGTTTGTTTTGTTGATACCTACTAGGCAAGCCTGAGTGGTTCAAAATAGGAGATATCACTATCAAAGTGAATAGGGGGAAGTCTGTTATAGCCTTTGGATCACGGTACTTGCTGTGATTCGTTGTGTAGCTTGGTGAGCGAGTAGGAAAACGAAGGCGGACAAGGCTCGTATTATAATAGAAACGACAGCCCTTGCCCACGCATCGAAGATCGAATGCGGTAGAGTTGCAACCTCACAAAGCTCGGAAAGCGTTATTGGCGATGACTCAATGGCCAAGGATCTGATGCGGTGGTAACTAAAGCCGAGATCCGCACGAAGTTTTCCGCTCAGATGATCATATGATCCAACCATCACTCACCATTGTATAGAATCTTCCACAAGGTCCGGTAGAGTGCGGGCGGCGGATCACGACGGGATCATGGTGATGATGCGTTAGTGGCATGGGATAGACTACACTGTTACCCACTCGGGGTTCTACATATGTATGTACATACATATTAGGACCCATGTCACGGAAGTCGACGGAGCGACTCGGTGTCAGAAGACTCTAAAACGAAGGAAATAAGGCATGGAATCAAGAGTGTTTGTAGCACATGGCTCTTGAGCCAATATGGTTCACGATCCTTCAGCCCTAATGTGGGGAAGCTGCTAGACTCAGCAGCTATTACAAGAACGTGGCAGCTCGCAATCGGCTTAAACCGATAACAATACTTGAATTGGGAAGTGCTTTTCAATGGACTACCTCTTTGAACAGAATCCATAATCATATGCCTTAGACAGGCAGACGAAGGGTGGCGAGGATATCTTACAAATGATATTGAGAGCTTGAGAAATAATATTGTTCAGCAGAGGGCGCAACTTTCGCCCGGCTTGGGTCAGCAAATGTGAGGAATTCTCGGCAATGGCGTCAAGATTCCAACGGACTAAACGTGTTTTAGCGACGAGTACATACATACATATGTAACAATATTAGCCGTGGCCTTGTTGCGGGAATGGCGACATTGGTGGATGGCTTCACGGCAGCATCGGAGGAGCTAGCACAAGATGCACGATTTGAATATGGTGATAGGTCCCCCACCGAAGGCTCGACCACGTTCGATCTAGAAAAGGTAATAATGGATACACCAAGTTGAGCTAGAATCGTGAATCAATGCCGGAGCTTGCAGGGGAAGCTTCGACAATCGACATCCGATGAAGGCCGGTAGGGTAAGTAAGCGACTGGGCAAAATACATAGTGGCGTCGACTTGGCGTGAGGTGACGTGATTAAGATGAAGATATTGTGCGAGGTGAAAACTCGATTATATTACCCATCCATCACCACTTGAGCTCCTAGGGACGGGTACATAGCGCATAGTTGTAGACACCGAAACGATGGGCGTTTCTCATTAACGACTCCAAAGCCAAGATGTTGTTTTGATCGATCGCTCTTGGTTTTGGTTCTGGTTCGATTTATCAAGCTCATCATTACTCTGAAGGTCAAGACGGAGCTCGAAAGAGGGGAGACTTGGAGAACGAAACGTTTGGACCATTGAGAGCCTCAATTGCATGCAGCTACCCCGGCTTTTACGGAAACCATTCATCGATATGCAACGCTAGACCTGTCTTAGATGGTGATCGACGACACGGGTGTCATACCACCAGACGAGGCCTTTTTTTTCTTTTTCTTTTTTTCTTTCTTTTTTCCTACTCGAATGAATTCGAGATGGTCCAACAACCGGCGGAAGTTGGAAGTTGGTACGAAGTAGAATGGCAAGCTTGTTTAGACGTCCTTCGTCCTTTCGAGTCTCATGCCACGTTAGCGTGGTCGGACACACAGACCACTTTCTCGTTATCCCCACGACCGCCAGACATGGGTCCAAAAAGCATCCACTGAAACCAGCCCTTCTAACCAATTAAAAGACAGTTTACGAGAAATTAAACATGGTATAAAGTAATTAACCAATCACATTCAACGTTTATGCTTTCCCCATGTCCTTCATGAAGTGAAGGCTTTAACCTTTTAAGGAAAATCGATAAGGAATTACAAGGTTGAAATTTGATTTTTAATTGGCCGATACAAGTATTCTTTAATGGATGCTTTTTGGACCCATGTCTGGCGGTCGTGGGGATAAGACTTGTTATTAGTCGGCGCCTGCCGACCTAAGGCACGGAGTAAATGAAGTTGACGATGTAATTACGTAATCTAAAATAGATCTATCAAATCTCCAAACACCGAAGCCAACCGCCGCTCTGCAAGCAACCCGGATAGGCAATGGGCTGTAGAACAACGAACGTCAACTACATGGATGGCTGTAGACAATGATCTTCCCTAGGCTCCCTGGTCTCGATCTTCAGATGCATCGTTCTCCTCACTTTCATTTTTTTTGTTTTAATTGGCAAGGAGTTCCCTACATGTGGCGTCAACGTGACCTCCTACTCGCTCGCTCGCGAATATGGGGAAATGCGGTCACTGAATGATGCCTACTTGCTAAGGTCTAGGCATATTTGCATGAAAGCCTAGCAAACCATGTCACTCGTGTCACCCACGCCGTTCGCGCCATTGGCTCGCACCGTCACAACCTTAGGTAAGAGACTCGTTGCTTCAAGCTTCTCCGCCCGGCACACGTAGTCCGCCCCCTGGGCAAATACTCCGGCGTGACATCTTCGCCTATCGCACAATCAGCAGTCTGCCTGGGTGGGAAAAGGGTGCTTACTTGGTTACTTAAACACTAAGGTTACGGACGGGTCTACCTTCATAAGATGGGCGACAGCGATACTGCATGCAGATGGTAGCATTTACTACCTATTTAGAATCAAGGTTGACAACCGCTGCTGGGCGACAGTAAGATGCCTTACTTGTGTAGAGTAGAAACCTAGAACCACGTAGTCGACAGTACTCAAATTGCGCGTATGAACATAATTTCATTATTTTAAGGGGTATGTTTTCACATAGACCTTCCCGTTGTAACGCCAAAGCGCCAAGAATGCCTTTGTGGGCTATCGATACATTCATCCTAAAGCATTTGCATGCTACCAAATCGCTTTGCCTCGCCTTCCTTTCCATCACCGCAAAAATCGTACACGCAATTATTGCGTTTTCTCTTAAAGACAGCTCATTGCGGAAGAAAGTCTCAATAGGCCGGTTTCATTTGCCAAAAGGCTGCTTTCGCTCGCTCGCGCACGTCAAGTTCGTCATCGCCCTCCTTTAGGGCCTCGAGCTTTGACAGGAAGCCTAGTTTCTTAAGCTCGGAAGCCCTCTGCGAACACCCAGGACCGTCGCTAGCGTTGTCCTGCCACGTCAAGTTGTTAATCAGGTGACATAGAGCAACCCTCACCTCTCTATCTTGGTTGTTA